GTAGCTCTAAAACATCCAGATACTGAATCTGTTTCCTACTGGCTAACCAAAGATGCACCTGGCAATAATGCCCAAACAATCTTCTGCAGATTCTCGCCTTGCCAAGGTACTCCTCTTCCATGGGTTACATAATGATCAGAAGATCCTGCCAAGAGGTACATGCCCCCTGTGAGGTTCAATATGTTAGGACATCACCATTTGTTTATACTTTCTCACAAGTCAGTGCACATTGTCTCTATTATTTTTCTTCCATTTTCCTTAATTTATTAATTTTGCTAATTATATAACCAACAAAGGTGAAAGGATCCCACCTCTTTATCCCCATCTGGTCGTCACTTGTCCCGGTGATGACCAACGTGATAAGAGGCCCTCTAAGTTTGCCTAGACAGGAGACCTCTTGAAGGACAAAGGGGAAAATGAAATGGGGGGGGGGGAGTGAAGGGGGAGGAAGGTCTGAACTCCAGCAGCTGCTTGGCATCCAAACTGAGTGTGCAGAGAGGAAGAGACGTCCTTATCAGATCTCAGGTCCAGGTTTTTGGTGTGTGTGGAAAGAGGGAGATTAAAAAAAAAGTGCACTTGGGATGAAGAGAAATAAGCAACATTGGCCCCTGCAAGATATATCAATATTTGCTTAATAACTATCCTGATGGGTTCTCTGACTCTCCAAATGGGTATGTGGCCATTCAGGGTCAACCAGCAAAGGACACCTCCTGAAGCTGATTTATATACAACAGACCTGCATGCAAATGTACTGGAATGGACCTTTCTCTTTGCCCATTTTGTCTGTCTCTGCTTCCTCTGTATCTTCCTGTCTCTCCCTCCTACCCTGCTGGATCTCATTTCCTTCTACCTTCCTTTCTTTCTCTAGCTCCCTTTCTCTCACTTCTTATCTAACCTGCAACAATTTGTGTTTTATGTCCTCTGTAATAAGGAATATGTACCCCAGAGTCCGTTTCCATCTTTCGTTCATTTATATTTTGTGAAAGAGAGCAGTGTCCCTGGCAACATTCATTCTTCAGGAGGCTACAATTATTACTCAGGTTAAAAGACACATTCAGAGGAAATTCAGAAAATGATAGATACTAATCTTGAGCCTTTTGTTTCAGCCTACAAGGAAAAAATGAAGGAGCTGTCCATGCTGTCACTGATCTGCTCTTGCTTCTACCCGGAACCTCGCAACATCAACATCTATACTTACGATGGTAAGATGCCTGCAATAGAAATGCCCCTGCTGGCTGGATCAGTTGGCAAAGCTTGGATATATTTGTTTCTGTCTCAAAGTTCCTGATATAATTAAATCAATATTTTGTGGATATTACTATTGACCTGCCGGGTCTACCTAATGGGTCTTATTGATTGCCGTTAGCTCAAAACAGTATGAGTTTGATGCTAATAACAGCACATTAATGTCTCTTAAGAAACATGGCTGAGTGCTTATTAGCCATCGCATCCAGCATGTCAACAACCACAATATGTCCGAGGCTTTTCTTTGCAAATAACATGATACGCTAAGCTGTAATTAGAGATCACAATTTGCAAAAAAATGCTTTGTAGTTAGAAAACTCAGGAGAGAAAATCAACCACCATCACAGTTTTTTAGTGTAGTCTTTATAAAATCCCCGTATTTTGTGTGTGCTGTCAACAACCTAATAAGTTCCAGTAGTAAAACCGACCTATGAAGCCCCAGATAAAGAGGATTTTAAAAGAAAATCCTAAAGAACTGGCATAGCTATGAACCTTACTTTGCAGTAAAACCCTTTTGGTTTGATTTATCCTGATTCATACGACTTAATTTGATTACCTTCCTGGTTCTGCCAGTATCTGCATGACTTCGGGCAAGTAACTTAGATTCTTTGAGCCTGATTTAACTCTAATATCTTCCTCCCGGTGGTGTTGTGGGTTTAAATGGTTTCATGTTTAGCATAGAGCCTGGCCTCTTGTAAGCATTCAAAATGGTAGCTGACATTATCAACAATACCATTTTTACGTAATTCAGTCCATTTAATCAAAATGTTTGGTGCAGTTATATATGTAGTCGATAAAGCTGAGGCATATCTGGCTACCTGTTTGGCTCACAACGATTTTCTTTTCCACATGTATAAGGAAATACATTAAAGGTAAGGTGAAAGGATCTATGGCAGTTAACCCCTTCTATACCTTTAAAATATTCCAGGACTCAAAGACGTTTTTCTTTCAAACTGATCCCGCCATGGCACAAGCATCATAAATATGAATTAACTGTTTCACAAGGAAATGTCTTCCATGCAAAAAGATTTTGGTTTCCAACCAAAACTCTTTTAGAATGCAGGTCCCACGCCTACTTCGTATAAGTTCATTCAGTCAACAAATACACTGGTCCTATCCTTAATCTGCTAAATGTGGCTGTGACTAGTAATCCAGCTATGTTTCTTCTGAGACTGTATCTCACCATGTGTTGTCACTGAGGCTCCAGTGATGAATACAGCTCAGGCCTCTTCTTCAAGGCACTCATGGCCTAGTAGAAGAGAATTACAGCATACAAATAACCAGTAAGTGGAACTCAGTGTGATTATTTGCTAAAGCAGCATTTACTGGTAGGACACAGAAGACAGGGATGGTTTCTGCCCTCTTAGGGACTGGAGAGAGGGAAACGAAAATCAAAGGTTATATATAAGCTGAGTCTTAGAAGTCAAATAGACAATTCAACATAGCTCATGAACTGCTTCCTAAAAGAACTGGTAGAGAATTTCAAATTCCCAATGTCTTTAACCTTGTCTACTCTTTCTGTATTAGGTAATAATGTGAAGTGTTTATTGTAGACAAATATTATCACAAGCATTAATAATTATTATTATTTACATTTATAAACACTGAGTGCTATGGCCCGTGCTTTACATTTAGTATCCTTTATATCTTTTTTTTGGAACACCTTTACAATTTAGTTTTTTTAACAGCTGTATTGAGGTAACTTACAAATCACTGCACATATTTAATGTATATAATTTGATTAATTTGGACAAGTATCCTTCATCTTTTAATGTTCACAACAGTCTTATGAGAAAGGTGCCTTTTATCTCCATCTTTCAGATGAGGAAATGAAAGCTTAAAGAAGTGAATTAACCTTCCCAGTATCACACCCTAGTAAGCAGGGCTTACTATTTGGATGCAAATACAGGCAGTTCTGATTTCAGTGTCTCTAACTCTATCCATTTAAAATCCCATCACCTCATCAAATAAGTGATTTTTATTTGCCTCTGTTCTCTTGAAATCCTTTTCCATAAATTTACACACTTTTTATAGAATTGTACTTAAGATATAAGTACAAATTTGGATGCCTTCAGGAAGATTTAAAATATTTTTACATTTGTGAAAAAAGCCACATCATTTTTAACATACTTACTGAATTGACTTTGTCTATATGATCTGTTAGCATTCACAGATCTAAGTGAGTAAGGTCAGTTCCTGTTCACCTGGGGTCTTACCTGACCACAAACTGAAAGTGCACTAACCAGGCTGCTAAAAGAACGTTAATGGAAGCTAATTTATAATTCTTCTCTGCTCTGCTCTAGTCAGAACTAGCCTGGAGACCTGGCCAGCTTGGTTGCCACAATTTTCAAGGGACATTAATAAATTAGTGAGCTCTGTGAGGTTAGGGAGTGATGCAGTAGTAAAGATCTAGAAACCGTGTCACTTTAGGACACTGAGGATGCTTTAGACTGGGGAAAAAATTTGAAATGGAAAATCATAACTCTTTTCAAATACTATTGTGATGCACAACAGAGACTGGCCTGACTTTGGGTGGGTCTAGAGGACAAAACAAGGACTGGGGGGCCGAAATGAGAGGGGTGTAATCTGGGGTTCAAAATAAAAAACAGTCATCTAAAAGTTAGAGCTGTCCAATGAGCTTTTAAAAATCAGTATATTTTACTAAGCTGTAAGTTGTGTAATTACACTAATATCCTAGCAGGTGCTAGCTATCACTCTATTTTATATTATAAATGATATTATTTTACATTATAAATTATTATTTTACATTATAATTTATTACATTATAAATTACATTATGCATTTTCAGGTTTCTGCCCATTTAATTACTATGCATGTTATGCAGCTATTGAGTTTAAATAGTTTTAAAATGTACAGAGTGTATAAATTAGATAAGCAGAAGTTGCCCCCTCCCTCCCCTACTACAGTGCCTCTTCCCCCGGTTCCTGTCTACAGCTGAGGGATGATGAAGAAGGACATTCTAAGTAGCAACAAAGTAGAAGCAAAGAGATTACCATGGTACCCTGTCTTATTGTCTTCATTAGACTATAAGCACCTTGAAGACAGGGACCCCCATCACAGTGTCCTCCCCAGAGTGGACATTACACTGCTTGATGACTCAGATCAACAGACACACTGAAGGGCAAACCAGGAACCAGCAGGATGCCTTTGCACATGAGCCTTGACTGCTGCAGGTATTTCCAACCATTCAGGGAGCTACATCGGTTCCAACACAGCTCCTGTGATTTCTAACCACAGGATTAGGTGTGAGAACTGGAGGACTTGGTTATTTTCCTCATTATGTAATCTGAAAATGTTTCCAGCTATGCTAATTTCCAAAACAATAAATAAATCTAAATCTGTGCTCCTTGGTTTTCATATGAGGCTCATATTTATTCAAAAGGAAAATAAAGTTAGTTCAAAATCGATTCAGGCTATTTTTTTCTGGGCACGTCTACCATGATTCAACTCCCTATGGACATTATTGGATTTCCCCACACTGTAAATATTTATCCAGTTAAAATATATCTATAATTATACGAAAGAAAGAGGTCTTATGTGTTCAAACAATGTAGAATAAATGATCCTATGCAGCATTTTACTCATCTTTGCCAGAATAACAAGGCTACTTTTAATTGCCAGAATTCAAAGTGTTTTAGTAAACGCATGCCTGTGTTCTGTGTGCCTAACCTTCTCAAATATTCATCTCTCAGATATGGAAGTGAAGCAAATCAACAAACGTGCCTCCGGCCAGGCTTTTGAGCTGATCTTAAAGCCACCATCTCCTATCTCAGAAGCCCCACGAACTTTAGCTTCTCCCAAGAAGAAAGATCTGTCCCTGGAGGAGATCCAGAAGAAACTGGAGGCTGCAGAGGAAAGAAGAAAGGTAACTTTTTCCATAGGTTTTTAAATTCTGCTCTCTCTTTTCCTTGCCTTCTCTCTCTCCTCTTCTCTCTCCCTTCTCCTCCCCAACCCCTCCACTTTCTCTCACACACACACACACACACACACTTCCATCAGAAGTTCCAGGAGACAATGATGCCTGAACCTGCACATGTAGGTCTTCTAGACATAGATCCAGGCTACTTCAAGTAAAAACTGTTGCTTTGAGGCTAGTTAAAACCAAACATCTCAGACACTGAAAGAACTTCAGTGCCCTAGTGCCCTCCCCCCATCTTGGACCCATTTTGATAAAAGCCTCCCTGCCTTAGCCTATCCTTGCTGTCAAGAAAGCACAGCCTTAGGTACTGTAACTCCAGGGGTTGTGGTGGAGAGAGGTGCCCAAGTGGTGAGTCCTCCCTCTCAGACTCTGCGTCCTGCCCCAAAGCATAGTACATGGTTTTCCTCGGTACTAGAAAGCACCAGATACTCCCTCTGAGATATTTCCTGCCCAGAAACACTGTTCACCCCAGGGTAAGGGCCAGAAGCTTGCCCCTGTCCCCAAGGCCTCCCTCCCTGTCCTTGAAGTTGGTTCATCCAAGATCAGAACCCTCTCGGGAATATATGAGTATCTTCCTCTACCCATTTTTAAGCCTTGATAGCATTTTTTTCTTTTTTCCATTGGTCCTTGTTTGTATTAAAGAGCTTTTTCTTAGAGCTAAATCTTTAATTTTCCACAATCAGCTGAATAAGAAAAGCCAAGGGTATTAAAAATGGAGGGCATACAGAAATCCCTAAGACTGTATACATAGAGACAGAAGTTATGTCTGAATATGTGCGTATCAGCTGTGTGATTATGGGGGTACATCCCATCGAGACGCTCTTGATTAACCCAAATGAATTACTGCAGGTAATTCATTCCTATGTTGTATTTTCCACTGACTTTATCATGATATATTTTTAGAATCATGTAGTCACTAAGAATATGCTCCATGCAAGGTCTCATGATTTAAATGGAAACTCTGCATTTATAATAATTTTTAAATTTTATTTAGATGTTTATAAAAAGTTAGCCAATACATTAAACACTTCTATGTTGGATACTTACAAAGAAAAGGAAAATAGTCCTTCTCCTAAAGACTGAATTCTCTAACAGGGAGTGCAGAACAAACCCAAATGTGTGTGTATGTATATGTGTTTATATATACCTACATGCACACACACACACACAAACACACACACATATGTACATACATAACTATAGCATCAAATAACAAGGCTCAGAGATTATAAATCCTAGATTAAGTTTTCTGAACCAAAAATACTTTTTGTTTTCATCTTTGTGGTTGGAAAATCTTCTTATATTGTGTAACTTTCTGATCACAATTTCAATTTTTACTCAGGTGAAGTTCTCTTTGCATCCAGTGAGTATTTCTTTACATATTATTTATTGTATTTAACCAATCACTGTTGTTATAAATTTGGATTTCAAAGGAAGGAAACTAAGCTACTAACCCAAGCAGACATACAGGAAGTTGCTTTAGAAATATTTATCATTTTTTTTGTTGCCATTTATAGCTTTCTTCTCATAGTAAAACTGAATTAACGTATTCAGAGTTACAGTCCTTCGAGACTGTCGCCAACAAATATGAATAACTAACTACAATAGTAGACAGCATGTTACAGTCAAGGTAATTTAAGTTCTCACTGAAGCATTGGCATCTTATAGCTAACAGTTGTAAGTGGAGGTCATAGGTTGACATATGGAGATGCCATAACTTGAATAGAAGTCAGTAACTGACCTGAAATTGAAAATTAAAGATGAAAATTCAACATCATAGTTCAGAATGTTGCTGGTATATTTAATTTGAAGGAAATTATTAAAAGAAAAAGAACACAGAGATGATCAAAATTAACCGGATGTTCTCATAAAATTCCCTGAGTTAACCAATTACTGATTCTGGTAAAATTCATGTACTCTGACAACAATAAATTATCAACAATTACACATTTAAACCGTTGAATTTAACTAGAAATTGGCCACGTGGCTAAAAGACATCTGCAAATGTAATCATCCAGCATTGCGACACCCAGGAAAAATATTCTTTGGAGCCCTTTAAAATCAGTATTCCGTCACATTTCTGCTCTTACTAAAATTTTCAAAAAAATCATTATATAGATTATGTCCAGGTACTAGGGTTTTAATTAGAAGAAAATACAACTAATTAACAGAAAGTGACAGCTTAAGAAATCATTAATTGATTTTTTTCTATTGGGTTGTACTGACTTAATTAGCACTCATTTGAAGAACTGTTAATTCTCTTTAAAGAGAATTCTTTAACTTCTTTAATTCTCTTTAAAGAGCCTTTAGCAAGTGCATATATCTCAGTAACTATCTAAGTGAGGATATGCATATAACCAAAACCCAACTCAACTAAATGAAGCAAAAAGAGGGTATGGGACTAAAATCCTCAGAGTGGTTACAGCTTCAAAAACAGCTTGATCCAGGAGCTCAATGTTTCTTTTAACATTTATCATTTATTTCTGCAACTAATTGGTGTCAATACCAAGGATTTTTTGTTTCAGTCAGTCCCAAATTATTTTTCTCACAAATTAGCAACTCCAGCAGAAAGAGAGCTTCTCTTTCCTAATAGTTCTAACAGAAGTCTTAGAATTGAGTCTCAGTGACCTGTGCCAGGTCACATGCTCAACCCAGTAAGATGGTACTAAATAAAGCAGGACAAAGAGAATTGGTAGTTCTGGGGCGAAAAGTGCTATTCATATGGGGTGGTCAGAAAAGGCCTCTTGAATATGAGAACATTTGAAAAGAAGCATGAAGATAGTGAGGGAAAACATTTGAAAAGAAGGCAAGAAGGTAAGGAGTGAGCAATGGGACTCTTCTCTGGGGGACAGAGTTTGAAGTAAAGAGAACAGCAAGTGCAAAGGCCCTGAGGTAGGAGTATGCTAGGACTATTCGAGAGATAACACAGAGGACAGTATGGTGGGAGCAGAAGGAGCAAGCGGAGACTGAGGTAGGAACTGAGGTTAGAGGCTTTTTTTTTTTTCTTTTTAGCGGTACGCAGGCCTCTCACTGTTGTGGCCTCTCCCGTTGCGGAGCACAGGCTCCGGACGCGCAGGCTCAGCGGCCATGTCTCACGGACCCAGCCGCTCCGCGGCATGTGGGATCTTCCCGGACCGGGGCACGAACCTGTGTCCCCTGCATCGGCAGGCAGACTCTCAACCACTGTGCCACCAGGGAAGCCCTAGAGGTAGCATTTTTAAGGACTCTGAATTCAAATGAAAAAGAAGTTCATTGGGAAGATGAAACCATTTCACTCCTTGTGAATCACAGCCTCTGTTCAGAGAAGTATCTACTTTAAAAAGCTGGGTGACTAGAAAAATAAATAGTGTTAGATAAATAGAGAAGACATGAAAGTGTGCTACATGTAGAGAATGGTTCCAGAACTAAGGATACCCAGAGGTGAGAGTGCAGAAAGTGTGTTTTCAGGGCAGTGGGTAGACCAGTAGTTTGGGCTAGTGGCCTTGGGTAGGGAGTAGTGAGGTGAGATTGTGGAGGGCCTTCAATGCTAGGTTAGGTATTCAAACTCCATTTTATCTAAGAAATGAGGAGTCACTAAAGGCTTTCAGAAATACTCAGATGTCCAACCTAGCCGAGTGACCGGCAGCACTTATATTGCCCTGGTTCCATTTCCTTTCCTACAAGCTAAAAGTTTGTAAAGATTCTGCCTACCAAACATAATACATTTAAATAAGTATTAATCAATTCCTTTTGTCATGGTTATAATCAAAGCATCTATAACTGCCAATTAATATTTTTGATTATCATAAAATAAGCATTCTCTCACTAAATTAACATAATTCTAACTCAAAGTAAGGATTAAGATAGACACAGGTATTTCACAGAGGTGAAATATGACTCCTGATAGGGCTTTTAAAACAAAAAGGTTATGAGACCCCTCCCCGTCCATTAGTACCCTTGAAAGACTTGTTTCTGGGACCTGAGTTTAGAGATCATGTCTGGGAAGCAGTGACCTACCTCGGCCATGCTGCTGGAGCCTGCTGGATCTAGAGCTGGAGGACTGCCACTGACTCATCTCCGTGTGGGCTCCAATTCACTTTGTGTTCGATGTTTTGGCAGTTTCCCCAATTCCTCACTCCATCTGTTGATACTATTGCAGCACTGACCATCTGATCACTACGTTAAATGCTCCTCCCTTAGGCTCCTTTGAACCAGAATTAATGCTCCATTGATCAGTTGGTAGAAGATTATTATAAAAGGAATAAGTCCTTTTCCTGATATTTTTCTTCCTTCTTTGATTATCTCTGAGAATCAGTATTCACCTCCATGAGACCACATTACCTCATGAGGTCAGATTTGAAGCTCATTATTTGAAATTAAAGTTTCCATACAGCAGCTTACCCATGTGGATGAAATGATATGAACTCTTCGGTTATCCATCCATCTATCCATCTATCCATTTATTCATTCAACAAACATTTATTTAGTGAGAGGCAGCAGAGCTAAGCCAACCATACATTCCAGCTGGCCCAGGACAACCCCAGCTTATTCCTACTGTTTGGTTATCATTATTATCTCAATCTCGTAAGTATCCCAGTTTGGACAATAAATTATGTGATATGGTAAGACAAGCACAGTGTTTAAGAACATCTTTAAAAGCATAGTGGTTAAGAACACATGGTTAAGAGAATGCCTGTGATCAAAGTCTGGTTTCACCACTTAATAGCTGTGTGACCTTGGGCAAGTCCCTAATCTCACTATGTCTTATTTTATCCATCTGTAAAATGAGACTAACAATAGGACCTACATCCTGGAGTTATGGTGAGAATTAAAAGAGTTATTCCATATCACAAGCATTGTGAAAGTGTCAGCTATTATCGTGTAAAAACACATCCAATTCCAACCTCACAGAGATGATGATCTAGCAAACTCATGATTTCATAAAGAAAGCTTCTCATTAACACAGATGCTGAAATGTTACTGTATAATACATTTCATAAATATTTTTAAACATTTTAAAATATTAGTTATCAAATTACAAAGGTGGTTTGATAGGTAACAGATATATAAATAGTTCAGCCCAACTAAAAGTGGCTTGAAAAAATTAGTATTCTTAAAAAAAGATGATGAAAACTTAAGGAATTGAATGATATTGATAAAATCTCATGCTAAAATCAATTAAATTAAAAAGAAAGTTATTCAAACCACTCCAGTAAACTATAATTGGCATACTGACAATACTGGCACCATCAACTCCAAAGTCATCGAACCTCCGAAAGAAATCTGTGTTGGTTATTTTTAATAATATGGCCTCGAAGTGGACCATTTGTCACCAAACATGATAGACTTACCTTTTCCATTTGTCGGCATCTCGCATTGTAGATGGCAACTAAAGTCGAATCCAGTAAAAGAGGGGTGGTTTGTATAACAATGATTATGAGCTAAAGTGCTGGATTATTCACAATTCAACATTCAGGAAGCGTTCTGCTCCTTAGAGAATGTGACATATGGTCCACAGACTCTCCCCGTGTGTGAAGAGCACCCCCGTGATTCTTTTGCTAGGAGTTCACCACAGTAAATGCACTACAGACTCTGGCAGAAGGACTCATTCTAAAGGTGTTTAGATTTCAATCATTTTAAATTTCTTATTATACTTCTGACTCTTCAACACATAGTGAATTTTAAACCCTTTTGTTTTACATAATTATACTCAATCATCATATTTAACAAGGCTTTATTTGTGACTTTAGCTGGGTTAATAATGTATTTTCATTGTTAACAGTAAAGCATATAATTAGAGACACATCGTCTAACCTACTACCGTAAAAGCACTTAGGTACTAGGAGATCTAGCGTCTGATAAATGGTTCTAGAAGGCAAGAAATATATCCAAATGATGAAAAGGAACAAGAAATAGAGAGGTATGGGGACCTCCCGGCAGTCTAGTGGTTAAGGCTTCACCTTCCAATGCAGGGTGAGGGTTCGACCCCTGGTCAGGGAGCTAAGATCCCACATGCCTCGTGGCCAGAAAAACAAAACGTAAAACAGAAGCAATATTGTAACAAATTCAATAAAGACTTTAAAAATGGTCCATATCAAAAAAAATACTTTAAAAGAAAATAGAGGTAGAAACGTGTATACTTCAGAACACATAGAAATAAAAACTAGCACTATCTAAAATATAGTCTTAAATCTCCTCTGTGTACACAAAGTAAAATGAGCTTTATTATACCACTTAACTCAAATTTATCTTCCATTTCATTATACAGTAATTAAATGCTTATACTCAGTAATATAAGAAATGGTAATGAACCTCTTTGGAAAATTATATAGTTAAAGTGTTCCTAAATGTACAATAATTCTTCTCACCATCTCATTATTTTTCCCTTCACGTATGTCTCTTGTAATTATTTCAGTGATACTGAGTTCAGTGTGAGGAAATTTATGCCCAGAATAGGTGTTCACCATCCTTGTGGCTCCGCTATTACAATAGCAAGATGGAGATGTTCTTCATCTTCCAGAACATCATGCTGGATGTCTTAGCTCTATAAATACTTTGCCTTGACATTCGCATTATACCTGAATCATGCCCTCATTTTCTATTTCCGCATTTCAGTGACCTTCCACATTAGGTACATGCTATTCAGAAATGCTCCTCCATGGTCAGATCCTTTTCCCTTAAACAATTTAGTTTTAACAACGTTTAGCAAATCCCACCTCTCCAGCCTCCCTATAAGTCAATCAAGATTCCTTTCTGCTAATCTGCCCAAACAAGGAATAAAGTAAGAATACCTATTCGACCACGTAGCAAAAACTTTACTCTGACCGAAATGAAGGAAAATGCTTCTACTTTTATATATCACATCCTCACACTCATTTTCTGTTTTAAGGCAGTTTTCTGGACAAAATACTTATTTGCTTATTGATAGAAATATTAGAATCAGGACCAGTGAGGCTGTGACTGGGGGGATTAAAGCTGTATTCATAGAATCAATTTCTCCCCAGGAACAAAGTTAGAGGTTATAGGTGGTGATATCTGGAGGCCAGGCTATGTAAGAAGGAAGAAGAATTATGACTCTCTGCAGCAGTGGAGTTCCAGAGACCCTAGGAACTGAGGTCAAAGCCCTCAGGGCTGTTAGCTCCATGGAAGAATTTAAGAGTTGAGTACGTATGAGGAAGAATCAAAACAGGGAGGCAGACGTATTTTCTTGGTGAGGAATTCTTTCCATAATCAACTTCTCATCCTGTATTTTTTTTGCATGGACTTGAGCTTTAAATATTGGAAACATATATAATTATTAGATCCTACTAATGCATGAGCTGAGGCAATGGTGGTTATAACAATCCCTACCAGTGCGTAAGGAAAGGCTCCATGGAGTGGCCCTGAAGGGTGGCCTGGCCCAGTTAGGCAGGTCTTCATCATTGCGCAGCGGCCTCACGTGAGAACGTTCTGTACTGCCTTCTGTTTCTGTTTCAGCCCATTAATTGTGCTAAAGGAATGCACTTGACACCTAGGCTGGGTAATCTCATTTAGCCCCAATGGCTGCAAAAGTACTAACGCCATTCATTGAGGCATTTCGAACTGAGCCAAATGCCACACTCCACAAATGCAATAGGCCTCCCTCCTTTCGTGATTATGGGCCCCCGAGGGAGTCTGTGTTCACACAGACCAAATGTGTCCCACCAAGGCAAGAGACCTGAAAAGGAATGTATTGCTCAATGCCAAGGCCTTCCCTTCTCAATCCTATTCCCCTGCTGTCTCCCGACTGGTTTCGGCTCTTCCACAAAAGAAAATGAAGAGCACAAATATAAACATCAAGTTACAACACGATTTCACAAAGTGCCAAAGTTAATTTGAGCATCTGAAAATTAAAAACGATGCAGTTGCTTCTGGATAACGATCCACGGTAACTCTGCGAGAAAGGGCCACAGAAAAATCCAGGTAGATCCTATCCAGGGCAGTGCTGGAAGCACTGATCTATGGGAGAAAGAGGAGGGGAAAGGAACTTACTAACATACCGAGCAGAAAGTTCACGTATCTACTGGCTTCAGTAGCCTTGGCTGATGGACCATGTCTTACAGAGGAATACAATCTAAAAGCACTGCTGTAGAGGATTTGGAAAAATTTTGTTTTGCTTTATTTTGATTGATTTGGTGTTCTTTGGTTTCCTGAAGCTGCCCCACCGTTTTCTGCCCATGACAAGAGACACCTAAGGCCCCAATCTTATCCATAATTCTTGGACACATTGCACCCTTGTTTTGTGATAACCCAGACTTCTCTCCCTCAAAAAGTTTTCTAGACTTAGGTTACGTAAATTGAATTGAACTTTCTGAAATGAAAGATCAAAGTCATTTCCTCTTACTTCTTTGTGGTGCTTCCTTAACTGTGAAAATTCTTAGCAGTACAGCCCCATTCAGTGTACGTGTGCTGGTGGAGAGGACGCGGAGTTAAGGAAGGGCTGACTGTCACCAACCACGAGGACACCTGAATCTACTCACCGTCCATAACTAAAGGAATGTGAACAGATATCCTGCACACGTGAGATAACCAAGATTCTGCATCTGAGCTTAGGTGTAGCAGGAGGTTCAATTGCCGTCCTCTCCTGTCACAAGTGTTTTGAGTTTTCCTTTCAATAATAATGGCTGCCGTTTGCTCAGTACTAACTTCTTCCATATTAGACACTGTGCTGAATCCCTAGCAAATATTATTTCATTTGATGCTGACAAGTAGTCCTATGAGATAGCTACTATCTTTATGCATATGCCAAAAAAATAATTTCATGAAGACTTTTCTCATAGAGAAACTTTAAACACACACACACCTTTTGTCAGTCTCTCTTTCCCTGTGTCACAATTCAGTAGTCCCGGTAGCAGTAGATAAGCAAAATCCATGTAGGCTGTTTTACCAATAGCCCCACCTAGAGGCAGGAGGATGAATAAACTAGAAAATATTTTTTCATGTTTTTTCCAGAAAGGCTCCATTTGGTCTTGAACTTACTTTGTGTTAACATTTTATCATTTTTCATAGTAGATTTTTTGCAAGCTACAACAAAGCAAGAATGAAATGGGTCCACTAAAGATGTCAGTGAAACGATTACGGGGTTAAAACAAGAAGTGGGGCTGGTTCCCTGAACTGTCTCTTTAATCTCCAATGAGTCACTAGACATATTCCTGATAAACTTCAGAATAACCACATCCACAAAGACTCTTAAGGCTGTCTGATTTTACCATTCCTGTACAATTTTATCTAAAGAAAAGTTTCTTTCCCTGTCAGACTTCGTATTGTTTATACATCACAATCTCTCCAGTAAGGGCCCACGACCACTGCCATCAACTGAAATATCTTCCTATTAATGTTTTTAGTGGTAACCAATATTTAGCCCACGAAATGTTTGTTTGATCTACCATTGTTTAGATATTCACATTTACAATGAATCCTCTGAAGCTTCACCTCAGAGGACCAGCTGATCCCAAGGAATTACCCGGGAACTATGGATGTGTAATAATTTAGTCTTAAACCTGGATAGTTCAGTACTGGGTAAGACTGCTCTTAGCTGCATAATTGGAGGAGAACGTGAATGTGGAAAGATGTTAATATATCCAGGGTCATTGACACAGTTAGCACTTAAACACAGACCTGATGCCAAAGCGCATGTCAGTGTATTTTTCAAAAAGTAGGCTGTGAACTGCCTGCATTACAATCACTAGGGCTGCTTATCAAAAATATAGCCTCCTGGGTCTTACCAAAGAACTGCAGAGTCAGAATCTCGCGGGTGGATACCGGGCCTCGGCATAATTATCAAGCACCCCTCTGACTGTTAACATAACGAACCGTATAGCCTCCTGATGCTGCAGGAGAATTACGGTGTGCAAAAATGTGTGGGACGTGCAGGAGTGGGGTACACAGGTTTCTGATGTTTCTGCTGTAATCACTGAGCAATCACAGGGTTTCACAGGTGACCTGGGTGGCCTTGGCATACTCAAGATGGGGCCGGAAAAGGACTTTCTGTTGTCTGTGGCCATATGGAGATGGAGTTTGCACTGTTCCCAAAGTCTCCTAAGAGAATTTGGTGCATGGAAAAAAAAAAGAGCAGAGGTGGGCATGGAATAAAATGAGAAAGTGGATTTAACAATTTGGGGAAAGTTGAAAGGCTCATTGCAGGGCCCAGCCTACAACTGATCAAAAACAATGAGGCAGGAAAAAGATGGGAACATGCCCCAATCCTCACCTATTTTCCTCAGGCTTCCAAGGATGTTGCCATCAGGTGATTAATTACAGCATTCCCTGTTGCATAAATGCTTAGCAGCAACTTATGAAAACAAAAACTCTACCAGGAGGGTAAAATGCTTCTTCTTCTAAAACCATCTGTCCGAAAAACTCACAGCTGAAAATTCAGCTCACTACATTTCCCCACTCAGCACATTCTATAGAGAATTCTAAGGCATGCAGATGAGCAGGGAATTGACAACAGTGCTCAAGGCTAGAAGTACTATTCATTTGAAAAGAATGCTGTCTTGAATCAGTGGACCATTATTTCACCAGGTTTGTGTCTGCGTGATTCTAAGATGGATATGTTTTTCTTCCCCAGTCTCAGGAGGCTCAGGTGCTGAAACAATTGGCAGAGAAGCGGGAACACGAGCGAGAGGTCCTCCAGAAGGCTTTGGAGGAGAACAACAACTTCAGCAAAATGGCAGAGGAGAAGCTGATCCTGAAGATGGAACAAATTAAGGAAAACCGTGAGGCTAATCTAGCTGCTATTATTGAACGTCTGCAGGAAAAGGTAATCATAACAGAGTCCTGAGCAGATGCACACATTCGTATGCAACACGGCCAGATGAACTCTCAAATGCCCAGGCACCAGAGACTTAATCAATCTCTGCTGCGGGTGCATAAGGCACCTAACCCCATGGGCAGGGTTTCCCGGGGTAGCATGGCCTTAGCGGGCACTGCAACATGGTTGAAGAATGAGAGTAGGACTTAAAGCTGGAATTCTGTCA